TTCCTTCCTTCCTTCCTTCCTTCCTTCCTTCCTTCCTTCCTTCCTTCCTTCCTTCCTTCCTTCCTTCCACCATTTTAAGCAGACACACCTGAGATGGTTTAAAAAGTTGATTGGCTGATTCAGAAACTGAGTTAAGTTAGAAATGAATGAAAGCCACACATATTATTCTAGGCAAACCAACCAAATCACCAGCTACACATAGAATTTTAATGCATTAAAGCATGAATCCTCCTCCTGCTGTTTGTTCAGGCAGTGGAACCAGCCAGCCAAACTCTCGTGACAGAGGGCCTTGATGGAGAAAAAGGAAACCCTTCCACAGGAGCAACATTCTCCCCCCAAAACTGTATTTCTGAAAACTGTTCAGAATGTCCATTTTGTAACTGACCAGACTCACTAGTTAGACCAAACTGGAGAGGATTTCTGCTATCAGAACCAAATTTTTCGTGGGAACTATGTGCTGCTACTCTTTCTGGGCAAATTCCAGTCACATGGAATGTCCTGAAAGAAGTAGTGGAATGTGGTCCTATGGAAATTGGTGGGTCTTATTTTGCAATATCCTTTCAGTTGGGGGAGACTGGTAAATTTAGTTGCTTTGATTGGCTGGAATTCCTGGCTATTTTCTGAAACATATTTTGAGTGGCTAATGGAATACGATTGTTTTGGAAGTTTTGATTCATCAGAGTTGTTGAGGTGTGTGACTGATGAATTAGGCTGGTTTGATTCTTTGGATGTAAAACTCTAGGCAGTTCAACCTTATTCTAGTTGGCTTCCTGGTATTAAGAAAACAAACGTATCATATTAAAAGGTTAGACTTTGTTTTTAATACATTTCTATAAATTATATTTTAGAAGTGCCCATTGTAGTCCATCTTACATTGTTTTATTTTTTTTATACCATCTCAACATATCTGACTTATTTATTTCTATTTAATTAGAGGCAGTGAAGCTTTTTCCTCCCACTTCTTTCCTTAGATTTAACTGTATAGAATACAGGCGAAGCAAACACTCTTTCAGAATCTCTGGCATTTTGTAATCAATCCAAATCTTGCGGCATCTGCTGATGGACCTCCCCTAAGTAGGGGCATGCACATGACTGAAGGGCTTTGCCAGGCACCAGCGTGCCTTACAGTGATGTGGCTCTGATTGGATAAGGTCTTGTGGATTTCAAAATGGGGCAAATCCCCGATCAGGAGAGGGCAGAGACACAACATGCTGAAAGTGATGGGCGGACGAAGGTGTATCAGTCTTTTTTCTCCCTTGTTCATTATTGATGGGGATTTCTCTCTCTCTTTTAAAAATTCATGCAATTAGGGAACTGGAAACTCATGACTGTCTTCCATAAAGAGGTAATAAGGAACATGTAAGGTGCACAAACAAAAATGTGAGTTAAATTGAACAGGGTAGAATCAGTGGTGCTGTCAGTACTGTAAACTGATTTCTGAGATGAGGATTTATAGATATGTTTATAGATATGGGGGTGAAGAGATTGTTGTATTTTAAGGGATGGTGATAAATTGTTAAAACTGTATATCCTTGCTGGGAAGAAGGTGGAAGTTACTCTTTCCTTTCCTTTCCTTTCCTTTCCTTTCCTTTCCTTTCCTTTCCTTTCCTTTCCTTTCCTTTCCTTTCCTTTCCTTCTTTTTTTTCCTTTCTTTTTTTTTCCTTTTCTATTCCTTCACTTTTTACTTTTCCTTTTTTATCTTTTGTAGTTTGTATTGGTTTTATCTGCATAATGTAATTTTTAATAAAAATTATTATAAAAAAATAAACTGATTTCTGGACAGTCCAACATCACCATGGCTTTTCCTCCTCCAAGACTCATTCCCACCTCTTCTTTCTGGAAGAAAGTGGCAGTAATTGCTGCAGCTTGCTTTATCTGCTCCAGAATGCTGACTTCCAACATTTTGAGAAATAAAGTAACCCAATTCTGTGAGAAGCTTTTAAAAAAGGGGGGGGGGAGGGTGTATTGTTGGACATACTGTATATAATCCATCCAACAGAGGAAGGCAGGTCATCCGTTGGACAGATTCTATAGTCAAGGGGTGGCTAAACGTTCACTTGCTTGGTTTTTTTTTGCTGTTTCAGGACTCCTACATGCGGCTGTACTTCCAGTATATCAACCAGTATTTTATGGTGGGCGCCCCAACCTACTTTGTTGCCACTGCTGGCTACAACTTCTCCACGGTGCCTGGAATGAATGCTATCTGTTCCAGTGTGGGGTGTAATAATAACTCCATGACGCAGAAGATCCAGACTGCCACACGGTTCCCTGAGAAGTAAGCCACTTTGAAGCTGCCTTCCCACCTCCAAGTGGAAATGAAGCTTTCTGCATTATACCCGCCTTCCCTCTACTAAATTAAAAAGTACGCTTTGATTTCAGTTTTCCATATGAAAGGAGGTACCAGCTGGACTAACGGTGTTAGAAGCCACAGTCATAGCGTGGCCATTTTATGGCTTTTAAATGTGTGCCTAGGTAGACACACATCCGTCCTGTGTGCAACTCCACAGCGTGTCCCCAACTCAGTCCTTTGGCTGGGGCTGGAATGGCGTCAGTTAAAACTCAAGCACAAAGAGCATCTCTGGAACTCCACCCAACTTTTTAAAAAGCGTCTTTGGCCAAGGCTTTCCTTTCCTTATGAGAATAGACCTCCAAGGCTGACCTAAGTCTCTAGTTCTCTTGGTGCTTTCAGGTCCTTTCTGGCCATTCCTGCTTCTTCCTGGGTAGACGACTTCATTGACTGGTTGAACCCCTTATCCAGATGTTGTCGCATTCACGCCTATGGCCCTGAGAAGGGCGAGTTCTGTCCCTCAACTAACCGTAAGTAATTCTGCGTGAGAAGGTGGTGGTAGCTGACAGGGCTGGACAGAATAAAAGTTCATTGCATCTCAGTGTACATACCAGAATGTGTGTGTGTGGGGGGGGGAATGGGACCCTGGACAGTGTCCAAGAGCCCATGTTTTGTCTCTTTTTTGTAGCCTCCCCTTCCTGCAGGTGGGGCAGATGCATAACCACCTTCAGTGGCACCCTCCGGCCGAACACAGAAGAGTTCAACAAGTTTCTGCCCTGGTTCCTCCATGATCTCCCCAACCTACAATGTCCCAAGGGGTGAGTGCTCTAAACATGTATTGCTGAAAGGCTTGCGTGTCTCTTTTCCCTTGATGCTGCCAGTGCTCCTGATCCCGTTTGCCTGCCTTGTCCAGGGGGACATCAGCTTTCCTCGCGTGTTCATTCCTTTCTTTCTATACAGGGGCCTTGGTGCTTATGACACATCTGTGCGGCTGGGGCCTGATGGGCAGATCTTGGGTGAGTAGACCATGCCATAGATATGCACCATCTGTGCAGGCCAGCAGATGGGCACTGACTCACCTGTGGATACAGATGGGCAGAAACGTTGCCTTGAATTCTGTGTTATCCTGCCTAATTCCTGTGACAGGACTGTGAGTTCTGGAGGAAGGCTGTGGGACCGGAGCAATGGGTGACAGCAGCCAATACAGGGACTGTCTCTTGCCTCACGCAGCTTCCCGGTTCATGGCCTACCATACCCCCCTGAAAACCTCCCAGCAGTACACGGCAGCACTGAAGGCAGTACGGGAGTTGGCAGCTGACATTACAGCTATCCTGAGGGAAGTCCCCGGCACCGATCCAAACTTCCAGGTCTTCCCATACACGTAAGTTGAGGGAAGGAGAAACATGGCAGAGCTGAGGAAGGAAATGGCTGCAGGGCCACCCGATCACAGGGCAAGAAGGGTCTGGAAGACTTCTAATCTTAAGGCAGCTTCAGGGCCACCCGGCCCAGCCGTGACATTGTGATAGGTCATGGTTTTTGCCTGGAAGAGTCCGAAGGAGTTCCTCTACTACCATGAACTGGTGAATGGGCTCGGCCAGAGAGTTGGTTGGTCTAAGCAAATGCCACGGGCAGCAAAGTCCCTGAGCTTCCAGACTGTGGAGAACCACAGAGATTACTTGGAGAAGGTATGCAGAGACTTTTAGCAAAACATGAATTGAGCCTGGGGAGGGCGGAAAGTATTAGAAAGAAACTTGAAGTGATCCTGCCTTTACGCTCTCTGATGTAAGAGAGAGGGAAGGAGAAGTGCTATCAGGGTTTCAAGCTTCTGTTACCATATTGGTATTTCTTGTGGAGTCTGTTTCCTGACCTGGCCTACCTCAAAGGGCTGACATCAGTCTTGAAAGCCTGACAGCCACATGAAAGCATTCTTGGATCTACCCCACCTTCCAAAAAGAGAAAGGTGCAGGACAAGAGAAGCATCAGGCACACCACACTTCTCCAGGCAAATGCTTCATCGTTTCTCAGAAAAAATCCTCAGGGTGAGCAAAACATTGGGCAGCTGGCCTTTAAAGTGCTGTGGCCATGCAAGTCCACCCATCATTCTTCCAAGGAAAGCTGGAAAAGGCCAGGGAAAGGATGATGGATGCCCAAAGAAAGGTCACTGATAAGGTGAAGGCTGTGCTGTGGAGTGAGGGCTCCCTTTTAGACTGGATAGACTAGAAGTTCCTCGTTCCCTGTATCAGGCTAAGACTGGGGAGGGCTGACTCAGATCTACGTTCAGTTCAGTTCTACTATACAGTATAAGGTTCTTGGGAGAAGGAAACAGGGGCAGAAAGAACCAGGGATGCTACTGGATCATCAGCATATGTATCCTCAAGTCTTGTTAGGTAGATTGAGATAATACTTTGAAAATCCTTGACCACATGCTTTGTGGTCATCTACATGATGAGACGTTGGACACCATTTACAGTATCTCCAATCTGTGATGTGGAAAAAGAAACATAAGAGGAGAAGTTAGGTACCACTCAAATAGGTTGCTCCAGGGAGGAAGGCAGATTGACTGGCCGGCAGCTTTGAAGGCTTCCAGAAAGCAGGTATGAAAATAGCTCAGAATAGAATAGCCCTCACTGGATAGAAACTTAGGACAGTATACTGTTCTGCATAGACGTTCATAATCATACAGGTTGAGACAAGGGATGATCCAGCTGAGGACAATAGACTGGGCAGAACATCTGGGCAGTTTCAGTCCCTTCTTTTGCGGTATATTGACACTCCTTAGAAAGCAGTTTAGATAGAAAAGATGAGGTCAGCAAGCTGTTGGGAACAACCTTAAAGCTTTGTTGGAGGACAATGGCAGAAGAAAAGATACTGCAGAGGAGAGCAATCAAGATGAGAGGGGGTCTGGATATAACAATCATAAAGTATCAAGGAAGCTAAAGTGTAGAGAAGAGAAGACTGTGGGGAGGCATGACAGCTGTCTCCAAGTTGCCTGAAGGGCTGTCCTGTGGAAGAAGGGGCAGACTGGTTCAAAATCATTCCAGAAGACAGAACAAGAAACAATAGACTTAAATTACAAGGAAGCAGATTTCGGTTGGACATCAGGAAAAAGTTCCCAGTGGTAAGCCCTCTTCAGCAGACTGCCTAAGGACATGTTGAACTCTCCTTCACTGGGGTGTTTAAGCAGAGGCAGAGGCAGGGTAGCTCTCTGTCAAGGATGCTATAGCACTGGATTCCTGCCCTGGGCAGGGGTTGAACTAGGTGCACTCTAAGCTGCCTTCTGGCCCTTATATTCTGCGATTCTACAGGGAGGATGGTGGGCCTTTGTGTGCTCCCCTGCTTCCCTCAGGAACCCCTTCTCTTTTCACAGAATCACCTACGTGTTTTTTGAGCAGTACCTGACTCTTACTATTGTTGGCATCATCAATCTGGCCCTTTGCCTGGTGCCCACCTTTGCCGTGTGTTACATCCTGCTGGGCATGGACCTGCGTTCGGCCTTCCTCAATCTGCTTACCATCATCATGATTGTAGTGGACACTGTGGGTGCCATGACTCTTTGGGGAGTCTCCTATAATGCTATCTCACTCATCAACTTGGTCACAGTAAGCCCATCTTTCTCTGGGGATTAACTTGGTGTGTGTGTGAGGGGGAGGGGGAGGAGGTGGGAGAGGGAAGGGAAGATATACCTAAACTCCCAGCTGCATACTGGGATAGGGACCAACATATGTGCCTAGCTTTGAAAATAAACAGCCTTCCAGTTGTGCTTAGTATTCTTCTGGAGTATCCTCCTCCAGGGTTCTCATTGGAGATTTCTGGAAGTATATGATATTATGGGGAAAATGGCATTTGGGTGCAGAAGGAGAAATTAATATTCTTCTGGAAGGGATCTCTCAAAAATGAGATGAGAGTAAAAGCTGTATCAGTGTTTTTTTTCCAAATGTATGAAATCCACAAAGAAGTGTGTTTTAAAAACTCACTCTGGGAACTGTTTTTATTTACTAGAATTCTGTCGATGCTTTTTTGGTGGGATGTCAGAGAGGATCCCTTTTGGTGTGGGGAAGGTACAAAGGCAGCACGCAAACTGATTCATAATTTTTGTCTTCTTTATTGTCCCAAAGCTGCAAACAAAGTACCGATTTACTTTTCAAATAGTCTGCGAACATTCTGCTTCTCTGTGCGGTACCTCAAGGACTTTCACTTGTCTCTAGCTGCTGGAAAACATTCTGAACAACCCCTGCTAAGTCGGTCCCAGCACTGTTTTGCCTCCCCGAGCGGGCCTTGCTCCTTAATAGCAGTGGTTAAGTGGTGACCACCTCACGGGCAGGAGACAATTAAATGGCTGGTCTAGAACGGTGACTAAGGGGACCTGCCTGCTTCCCCTATGTTTAAGATATCTCGCTTTGGTGACTTAAAACGAAAGAAACTAACAAAATCTTTCTTGGGACAATCCGAGTGTACACTCATCCAAATTATACTGTACGAAGGGCAGATGAAAAGGATCAGTGGCATCACACTTCCTAACCTTCACGAATCCCTCTGAGGTGTGGCAGGCAGCGTGGCCTCCCTTCTGTCTGGGAGGGCAGATCACTCCAAAGCTCCTGCTGCCCCAGTGGGACCCTGGGGTGGGAGCCGGGCCAGAGGAGAGCTGCTGGAGGAAAGGCTGGATCCTGTAGTTAGGAGGAGCCGTCCCTGTTCAGCGCAGGAATGCAAAGCAGAACTCCCCTATCCGGCCTCTACTTGAACATATCTAGTGAAGGGGAACCCACCATCTCTCTGGGAATTCGTTTTACTGCTCTGAGGAAGTTTTTTCTAACATTCAGTCAGAATTTGCATTTCTGTAACATTTTTGTCCAGGATGGTAGACAATAGTTTCTTTTTCTGTGCAACATCCTTTCAAATAATGGAGAAGTGATCTAATACTCCTTCTTAGTTCCATCAGTCTCTCTTCACAGGAGCTGTGAAGGACCAGCTCTTCTGATGAGTCTTGTTGCCTTTTTCTGAATCCTAACAGAGCGCCTAGAAGTAGACCCAGTACTTGGGGGCCCACTAATGTGGAATTGTGATGACAGCTGCCTTAGTAGTAGTTCTAAAGTGACTGACTTGTAGTTCTAAAGTGACTGACCTAGGAGACCTTTGCGGCCATATGGAAGAAAGTAACCAGTGAAGCCGGAAGGAAATAAAATGCGGATAGCAGAATCACTGATCCTTCTTGTGTTTTGGACTGTAGCCTCCCACAAAAAGGATTGACAGTGATACTCTTGTGTGGGTGAACAACAGTGGCAAGCGCATCAGGTGGTCTTTCAGCTGCTTACTGACGTTCATTGCTAATTGCTTCACTGTCCTGCAGGCAGTGGGCATCTCTGTGGAATTTATCTCCCACGTCACCCACTCGTTTGCTGTCAGCACAAGACCCACCAAACTGGAGCGCTCCAGAGAAGCCACAATCAACATGGGAAGTGCGGTAAGGACTGTGGGATGGGTGTGCCACAATGGCACGTCCTGGGGGCATTGTACTTGGGGGTGGCAGATTCTGAGAGCCGCGGCTCCTGTGCATTTCCAGCAGCTCTCCGGGCCCCTTTTCTCAGGCCGGAGAGCCAAGCCAGTCTCCTGCCTGCAGCTAATTTGCTCAGGCTTCAGAAACTGCCAAGCAGCCCCTCCCAGTTAACCAGAGGTGCATTGCCACGAGATCAACGGAGCTCTGACGTCTCTCATTTCTTAGTCTGCAGCTGTGGGGTATGCAGTTGGTCCCATTACTTGTGGAGCTGGTGCAGTGATCAGGTGTTCTCCAGGGCAAGGGACTTCTGTGCCTTGAAGTTCCTGGGAGCAGCACTGGCCCCCCTCTGGGACTCCCCAGGTGTGATGTTTCTGTTCTGTGTGCCCCTCCCTTCTTTCAGGTGTTTGCTGGTGTGGCAATGACTAACTTGCCAGGCATTGTGGTCCTGGCATTTGCCAAGGCCCAACTGATCCAACTCTTCTTCTTCCGCCTGAACCTCATCATCACACTCTTAGGAACGCTGCATGGCCTGGTTTTTCTGCCTGTCATCCTCAGCTACTTTGGTAAGTTTCTACTCCTTGTTCCCTGGTTCCTTTTCCTTCTCTGCTTTTAAAGGAGGCTCTTGGCACTCAGTGGGTTGCATCTGCAGACTTCTTGTTGAGAGGGCGTTGTCGTTGTCTCCCATTTGGAACTTTCCTGTTTTCCTTCTGGCCCCAAAATTCAAAGCTGGAGAGGTGCTGCAGCTGCGGTTGCATTTCACATTTCAGTAAAAAACCTGCCACCTGGGAATGCCTCCCTCT